GTACGAAGAGGGGTAAGCCTGTCCTCTGTCCTTCGCCTTTTCTCAGACGCTTGGGTGGCTTGTGTGGCGGTATGAGGAACCTTCTGCATCCTTGTGCTCGCAGCTTTCTCTCGAGACTTGTTTTCCACTGTGACGAGGGTAGCGTGCTGCGCACGGTGAGCTACGTTTTCCTCCAACCGAATGTAGATTTGTGCCATAGCGTTCAAAGTCTGCATATCCGGGGGGGAATATTTGACCAAGGATGTGTGAAACTTGGTTCCCTGGATCATTGCCAACTTAAATGTTTCGATTGCCGTGGCAGGATGGCAATCTGCTATCTCCGAGGCCTCCATGTTAAATCTGGATAAAAAATCTTGCAGAGTTTCTCCCTTCCTTTGCCTTATGGTAAAAAGGCTGGCTATACTTTTCTTCTGCTTCTTATTTCCGCAATACTGGGCTAAGAACATAGTGCACAAGGTCTCATAGTCAGGGATAGACTTGTGTGACCTATTCCTGAACCATTCTAATGTTGCTCCGGTTAAACTAATAGGAAAAACCTTACACATCCACGGATCGTTATGATCGTCCAATGCCATCTTTTGCGCATAATGATCAAGATGCCGAGAAGGGTCGCCTGCCCCATCGAACTGGGTGAAGGATGGCATAGTGAACTTCTTCGGCCTCTCCACAAGGTACACCTCGTCAGTAAAGGGGGTCTTGACCAAGGAGTTCTTGTGCTCTCTAGCCATCTCGGCTGGTGTCTGGACTCTCAAGAGCTTTTTTTCATCGAATGCATCTTGTACACGTGCGCCATCTGGAACGCCATTGGACCATACCGTAAGCCTATGGCTGGACTCGGCCTGTTCGTCCTGTGTGCGATGCGGGAGATTATCCGAAGCAACCGCCTCGGACCTCGTCCCTTGCTTTTGCTGCGCCTCACTAGGTCGAGACCCGTTGGGTGGTGTCTCGTTGGCTGGAGGCTCGTGAACCGGAGGTAAATTCCGGGTGGGAGGTGGTGCCGCAGCATCGCCTGGTGGTGGTTGTGGCGTTAGCCTGGCCATGGCCGTGTGCAGCGTATGAGTCTGCTGCTGAAGCGCAGCTATCTGGGTGACACTCGTATCGTTTGCTTGCCGGAGTGTCTCAAATTGGTGCAAGAACTCTTCTCGCATCTTTTGCATCAGTTCTATCTGTTGATTCATTGCTGAATCTCCGTTTGACATTCCAGACACGACTAAAGGATTTAATTTGAAGAACAAGTGGGAGTATATTTGTATACGCTTCCCACAGACGGCGCCAAAGTGTAGGTGCAAAATTTTGCTCAACCAATAATGACTGAGAAAAATAAAACAACTCACTCAAAAACAATAAAAATAAATAAGAACAATGTATAGAGAAGTGTGGAATTGCTTGATCCTTTATTGGAGGTCTTAGCCTCTATTTATATACAAAAGATTACAAAATTATGATAGGACTCGCGTTGCTTGCCCTCCAATTCTTTCTATATAACCATTCTTTTCTAATAGAGTTCTTTCCATTGTTGAATCTTCCATACATAGAAATTGTCTTGTACAGAACTTCCTATCCGAATTTTCCTTCTACAGTAAATCCTTCAAATGGTAGGATTTGCGCATTCTTGGGCTGAATATATTTTGATCCGGCTGGGCTTGGGTAACAGGCCGGATGTTAAATACTCATACGCTGGGCTGACGACAAGCTGGGCTGATGACTTCTTGATTCGGCCTTGATGGAAGTTGAAGGATAACTAACAATGGTCTTGGGCTGTAAATACCCTCAATTTGGGCTTGAGCATGATGGGCCTTATATGTCCTTGGAATGTAGATATGGGTAGTGGTGACGTGTGCGCTTTTTATTGGAGGGAGTTTTTTTTCCCTCCACACATGGCAAGCAAAAACAACCTGCTATCCTGCTATCTGCCAGTTAACTGTGCAAGTCAGTCATCATTGTTTTACTCGTATGAACTGTTCTCTTCCATTCTTTTATCATGAAAAGGGTAAACAATATGTTCCATTATGAACCCTGATCAGCCATCTCGAGCATGTACAGATGAGAAGGAATTATGGGAAACCTTGTTGCAGTTGGACAGAGTCTTTGGAATCGTTTTTTAACTAGCTGTGAACTACTTGTGTCCTTTCTAGTTTGGTTTGGTCTAAAATCATCTGGGTATCTCAGGAACTTGTGAGCATTTGAAGCGACCTCCAAAAGGGATTTGATTTTTGATATATATTTTCTTAGTTGTGACATGGCTCTAACTATCGAATTAATCTTACTCGATTGAGCAAATGATGTCATCATTCATAGTAATGTTATGATAATGACATTCCTAACTCATATAAAATAGTCGGATGAACGAAGGATAAGTAATTCAAGAGTTAGATGCATGTGATTGTTTAAGTGAGTGAAGTGATACTATTAAATATAATATGTTATTTTTTACTCATATCAGTCGGATGTGTTCCACTCTGGAACTCTCTATCACTACTTTAATTAGGTTAGTCCGAGAGAGTCTTGAACTCTTATCATTACTTTAGTTGGTTAATTCGAGCTAGTCTAGACTAATCAATTTTTTTATTTTTTTTATTTTTTATTTTTTTATTTTTTCATCTCAGTTTGTTTGGAAGTAAAATATTTTTCAAAAAATATTTTTTTATTTTCTGGTATTTGGTTGTTATAAAATATTTACGAAGAAAAAAAATATTAAAATTTAACAAAAATAATTTATTCATAAATTTTCAACAAATTATTTTACATGTTTGTTCCGATACACTCGACCTCAATCTCGACGTAGATCTTTGCCAAACACTGACAAAGTAAAAATAAAAAAATATTTTAACTGAAAAAAAATATTTTTATAAAAGAATATTTTACGTCGAAATAAACACACTTTACAGAACTTAAAAATATTTTACGTTGAAACAAATGATGCGGCACTCAACAGAGCTTCACCTAGTTGATCTGGAATTTGTTGTTTTCAAATTAAAAAAATTGAAAATTGTAGGGAACATTTGATCGACCTAAAAGCCTTTCTTTTGTAGGCAACTTAGGAGATGGCGTAAATTTTTAAAAATAAGTAACAACTTCTTAGAAAATGGCGAATACCCTGATTATCCCACTACTTGCAAATTGCAATAAGGAAGGCTACTTTTGTCTTTTGTCAGTATATTTTTGTTATTCATTTATTTATTTAGTAAAAAATTTTACGTGTCAAAAATAATAATAATTATTTTTACCTTCGGCGATACTGTCCTAGTAGTTTATGTAAGAATAAAAGAAAATTGTGGTCCCAGTCTCCCACAGCAACAAGAAGACCCGTGCTGTCATGGGTCAGGCATGTGCACCACACTCATTAGCATATATGATGATACTTTAGTATTAGCAAGAACCAACATCTCACAATTTGTTAAATGGGAAATCGGTGCTTATATATTTAATTTATTAAATGTGTAGAAATTTGGATAATCTTCACTAATTTTCTTTCCAAACAAATTCACATTTAATAACAATTAAAATAGTGTAATTTCATTACTACGCATTATGTTATAATTTCATACACAATTTAATCTTAATAAAAGTAGTGACAGAATTTTTTTTTTTTTTTTTTTTTTTTTTTTTTTTTTTTTTTCAAATATCATAGATGAATCATATTCATATAATTTGTCATACATTTTGCTTTGAACTTTTTGACCCACCTTAATAACGAACTCGAAAACTTTTTGATTTACCTTTGTTTTCTGTACAAGTAGTCAGAAATGTAACTGCCATTAAATTAAAATTACAATAATAATAAAAAATGGTTGTAATTTTGATTTAACTAGTTGCAATGTCCATTAATATATGTACAGATGTTACATTTGTTTTTAAAATAAAGCTATGTTTGGCATTAGTAACAAGAAAAAAAAAAAAAAAAAAGGAAAGAAGGAAAAAGAGAAAAAAGCGTGAGGTGCTTCTCATGATTGGTCAATTAATAAAAAAAAAAAATTAATAATAATAATCATGAAAAAAAAAAAAATTATATTAATGAATTTATTACCAAACATTTTTTCATAAATTTTGTCTTCTACAAAAACTAAGCAACAAATTTGACATTAATAAATATATCATAATATTAGTTGCATATTTTATGCACACCGCTGTTGGTTGTGGAAAAGGGCATAATTCCACTTCATCGGTGGAGCCCGCTTGCAGCTGATGATCCAGTTGAAAGCTACTGCACCGGTGAGGATCATGTCATCCTGCCATACATACATTATAACGAAGAGAGAGAGGGATTATAGATTGTGGAGCAAGCTGCAGCAGCATTGAAGCAACATCTGTGTTTCGTAAGTGTATTTTGTTTAAAGTGAATCATATACTACTTCTCTTCTATTTCTTCTAATTGTAAAATTAAATCAATCAAATGATAGATTGTTTGCAAGTCTTCTTATGATTTCATCATCATCATCAAATTCTTCTTTCAATTTTGACCTGCGGATTTGTTGATGTTGTTGAAGCTACTTCTTATCTTCTAGTCTGATTATGTACAGATATGTACATTTGCATATGTAATTCTGTGATTTCGATCTTAATTATTTTTTTATTTTTACAATTTTGATCTGTGTTCAATCCACATTCTTCAACAAATTGTCAGGACACGTTCCAATTTTATATGTGAATCCAATCCTGAAATCCTTATGATCCTCCGTTGTTTGTTTCTCGGGACAAATAGAATGACAAATTACAAAATAACTAAAAAATAATAATAAATTGAAAAAAAAATTAACAAATTTTGATGGATCTTTTGTTTTGTCTGATTTTTCTTTATTTTGTTTTATTTTTCTCTACCTAACAATTTTTTATCAGTGTTTTGTTTTGTCTTCACTCTCTTGCCCTCTTTGGAGACTAAACACTTTTTTTTTGTCCCCTTTATTTTGTTTTAATTTTTCTATCTTGCTACATATATCTGTGTGTGTATATATATATTGTCTATGTGTTTTTTTTTAATTATTTTAAAAGTTCTGTAGAAGTTAATTTCTCATGGAAATAAACTAAGCCAACAAAAATATATGACAAAAATACGTGGAAGAGTTTAATAGTCTTTTGGAGTTTTGGGGCTTGATAAAAACATTAATAATCAACGACCTTATTTGGGTTCTGTTTGTTGATTGTAAAAATCCCCATGTGATGTGGATGGTCCTGTGGTTTGTAAGCTGTCTTTTGTTGTTGAATAAAAATGGCATTTTGGAAAAATAGAAAAGAAAAAAGAAAGCATTAATCAGCAACCAAATAGAGCATATGATATCACCAAAGCCTTGGCTTAAGTGGTATGTTCTTCACCTCCCCAAACAGAGAAAAGAATAGAGCATATGGTATCGTGGATTCATTAGTTGTATACTGAGTTTATTGACTGACAATCATCCATTTATGGGGTTGATTTTAATGTACATTCTACCTTTGCAGGGGAGAAGTTCTTCTGGTGTCTCTCATATTATCATCTAAAAGCATAAAGACAAGAGAGGTAGATTATTGATTGACTAAGATGGCAAACATCGATATTGAGGGGATATTGAAAGAACTTCCGAACGACGGCCGTGTCCCAAAGACGAAGATTGTGTGCACCTTGGGCCCAGCTTCTCGGTCTGTGCCAATGATTGAGAAGCTTCTAAGGGCGGGGATGAATGTGGCCAGGTTCAACTTCTCACACGGAACCCATGAATACCATCAGGAGACCTTGAACAATCTCAGAACTGCAATGCATAACACTCAAATCTTGTGTGCTGTCATGCTTGATACAAAGGTCAGATTTCAGTATTCTGTTCAACTTGGTCTTTGTTCAATTATTTCTTAATGTGCTCTCCTTATAATACTTCTATCTGTGTTTTTTTTTTTTTTTTCTTCATATTTTATTCTTTTAATATATATTTATATATATTGTATATCTGCATACACATTTACATTTTACACATTTGATGAGCACAGTTGTCACAACCAGCTGTTTGCAATTTGGGATTAGATGAACAGAATTGATAAAAACTATTTTGTTGATTATTTTTCCTTTTTGTCTTTTGTTTCAGTCAGCTGGTTGCAATTTCCTTTAAAATCAATTTGAGGATTTACTTGGAGAATAAATTAATGGGAAAACTACACATAGGTGGACTTAGGGGCCTCAAATAACAAAATCATGGACTTTTAAAGACCAATTTTTACTTAATCCACCCTTCTTCCATGTCCAGAAAGCCCTCCAGCTTTTGGTTGTTTCAATGGCCACTTACCTTTCAGAAAATCCTTCATGAGGCTTGGACATATTGACTTCTTGACTCAAAAGACACTCAAATACTCGAAAACAAAGAGAAAGTAGAACTCAATGCTTTTGGTGATGAGACTTTCTAAAAAGCTAGACACAAGTTCTACCAACACATTCCCAGGAAGATATTGACAATATTATATGACCATGTTAGATGTATGACACCACACTTTTGCAATAGAGGAGCAGAAAGTTGTGCTTATATCAAGTAAGGACGAAAAAGCTCCCAAGTCTTCACGAGAGGGTAGTAATTTTCTCATTTTGTCAAAATTTGTGAAAGATTATAAAGAAAGTAATGAGAAGTACAAGGAAGCCGCTGACACTATCGCCAAGTGAAGGTTTTCAATAAAGGTGATCTTGTGTGGATTTATTTGGAAAAAGAGTGATTTTCCTCCGATTTTAACACTTTCAAGGAGACAAAGATTGGCTTATGCCGAGTTCTTGAAAAGATCAATGATAATGCATACAGGATTGAGCTCCCTCCAAATTTTTGTGATAATAATTTTAATATCGAAAGCTTGTTGGGAAATGGTAGAGAATTGGATTTAACTCGTAGACAAGTTCGTTTTCACCTGAGAAGGAGGATGTAATGCCAAAGTTGCAGCCATATATGTGGATGCCAAGTTGTCCTAGTTGGAGACTATGAGTTGTCCTGAAATTGAGGGATGGAAGACTTCTTCTTCAACTGCTCATATTTATATTTAATAGTATCTTGTGTTTAGTAAGTTGCTTTTGATTTAAAATTTGTATGATTGTCATATTTGCACTTCTTGTTGAAGTTGCAGCTGATAAAAATTTAGTATATGGTTGTTGGAAGAAAAAAGTAAATTTTGAAATATGTTTTATATCTTCGATAAAATTATAGAGCATAACTTTTCTTCTTCTTTTCCCTCCATCTTCTCTTGGTTGCATCTTCTTGTTCTAAATTATTTTTCTTCTCTCTTATCAGCTGCAACAGAATGTCATCAATGACTATAAGGATTTAGGCCTCGTTATCTTGTAAAGAAGGCAGGGCTGTAAGGTTGGTCCATTGTGACCTGGAGGTCACAAGTTTAAAACAGAAAAAAGCCTCTCCGCATGCGGAGGTAAGGCTATGTACACCTGACCCTCCTCAGACTCTGCAATAGCGAGAGTCATTGGGCTAGCCCTCATCTTGTGTCCTTGCTAGCATGTAACTTGCTAACTTGAGGAAGTTAGATTGCATAGAATGACATTTTATCTTACCCATTTCTATCTAATATCCTTTTAACTTTTTATGGGTTATGAATTTCAAAAGCCGAGGGTGAGCCTTGGCATAAGGGTACAGTTGTTCCATTGTGACTTGAAGGTCACGAGTTTGAAACAGAAATTAGCCTCTCAACATGCGGATGTAAGGCTGCGTATCTAACCCTCCTCAGACCTTGCAATGGTAGAGGCCTTGTCCATTGGACTAGCCCTTTTATTTTATTATTATTATTATTATTATTTTTTATGAAGTTCAAGAGCTATATCAATTTTCACAGTACGGTATTCTTTGTTCTTAGAATACCTGTCTTTCTTTTCCAGTCCTTAGTAAAGCTTTCTTGGTTTTTAATTATGTTGGAGAGAGTTTTTGCCGTTGATATTGAAAGATGAGAATTATCTTATATATGTTATTAGCTTTCCCATAATTCTGGTCTATTATAATTTTGGCTTTTGTCATTAATTAAATACTGCAATTGACATGTCAGCTACATAGTTCTTAAGGTTTTGTAGAATAGAAAGTATTTTCAGGTTCCCATGTAGTGTCTTCTGGTCCATTTTATGTCGAGGATGTAAAGTAATAGAATCTCAGCAAACCTGCTTCTAAAATCTATCTTACTGTGCTTAGTTTCTGAAATGTACTCCCAAGCATCTATTAATTTAAATGAAAAAAATAAAATAAAGAACTATATCATTTTTATTTTATTGAGGATAACAATCACAGGTTGTCTTCAAAATTTTTATAGAATTATAGTACACCTCAGTTTGAAGTCTATTTGCTGTCCTTGGTTTCTGAAGTGTACTGGCAAGCAGCTTAACTACTAAAATAAAAAAAGAAATTAAAGAACTATATGTATTTTTTTGAGGAAAAGAATCACAAGTTGTCTGCCAAATGATTACCTTTGGTTTCTTGTGCGAACTTGGAGTTTTTAGCATGGTAAAATCTATTAATTCTTGGTTTGTTTTGAGCAATATGTTTCAATCAGGCTCATTGTAGGCCCAAATGTAAGAATGAAGGTTTATTTTATCGACTCTCTCTCGCTCTCTCTCTCGTTAATAAAAAAAATATTGTGGGCCACAAATTCTATATATGTCTGTGATGCTCCACAGAGTGCGTTACAGTGCTCCCTTGTGCCATTCATCTCTATGTAGGACCAATAAACTATAATCTTTGTCTAGTGCAGTTGAGTTGGATGCCATCTGATGTTAGAAAAAGCATGCTATAAAAACAAATCTCTGTTTATCCTATAGGGTAAGTTTTCTTGCTTTGACTTCTGGAAACTTCTCATTTTCCTCTGTCACTAGCATAATAAAGCAGCTAGAGATATGGATGGGCATGTGATGCATTGTTATGTATGATGTCTTCTTATCAGTTCTAAGTTCTGCTATCTCTGAGCATGACTTACCAGTTAAAACCTGTTTAAGGATTGGATTTTTTGCCAAACTTATATTACTACAAAAAGTTGAAGTGGTGTGCCATATGTACTTTTTCTATTGCAGGGACCTGAGATTCGGACTGGTTTTCTTAAGGATGAAAAACCTATTCAACTCAAGGAAGGCCAGGAGATCACTATAACCACTGATTACAGTATAAAAGGGGATGAGAAAATGATCTCCATGAGCTACAAAAAATTGGCTGTGGACTTGAAGGCTGGAAATACCATCTTGTGTGCAGATGGCACAATCACCCTAACCGTATTATCATGTGATTCAGCTTCTGGAACAGTGAGATGTCGTTGTGAGAACACTGCTACTTTGGGTGAGAGGAAGAATGTAAATCTTCCTGGTGTGGTGGTGGATCTTCCCACGCTCACACAGAAGGATAAGGAAGATATCCTGGGATGGGGTGTTCCTAACAATATTGATATGATTGCTCTCTCATTTGTGCGCAAGGGCTCTGATCTTGTTAATGTCCGCAAGGTCCTTGGGCCCCATTCCAAGCATATACTATTGATGTCAAAGGTATGCCAATCCCTTTCAGTGTTCAATTGTGCGTATGGTGGTGCATGTGTTTGTGTGAATCTATCTTGCATCTCTTTCTTTCTTTCTATTTTTTTCTTTTTCTGCGTTGCGCGCGCGGCGCGCATGTGGGCACCTTGGCCGCCTCGACACCGTTTTTTGTCGCGGCCTTTCTCATTCATCCAGACTCCGAATCAAGTGATTCTTGAGTCTAACTTCGTTAATTTTTCGTTGTCTATCCAATGGTGTGCTCGGTAGCACCCATAACTTTCTGGAAATTATCATTTTGCCCCTAGGGCTAAACTTGTCCCTTTTTAAAATGTCGCTTCCGCATTTTGTTTTCTTTTAAGTTCCGTGACTTCATGGGAAGTCATGTTTGTGTCTTAGGGATGTCCTACATCCCTCCAGACTTTGTTTTCATGGAAAATGACTATTTTGCCCTTGGGGGCACACTTGATCTATTTTCAGTCTTTTGCTTTCGTTTTCATTTTCATCGGGTTCTGTGACTTAATGGAAAGTTACTCTGGCGTCTTAGGGATGTTGTATATCCCTAGAGACTTTGTTTTCTGTTTTTGCTTCTGCATTCCAGATCCGTTATCGGATCAACTTTCGGGTCACATTGACACATCCGGGTTTGTGAAAATTCGGAATGTCACAGGCATATTTCCCTCATTTTATGCAGTTCTGAATTAATTTTTTTTTTTTTTGTTTTCAAGTGTTCAGTATCTGTTGGTCTTGTAATAACTTTTGTTTGTTGGAGCTTTTAAGGTTGAGAACCAAGAGGGAGTTATCAACTTTGATGAAATATTGCGAGAGACTGACTCATTCATGGTTGCCCGTGGTGATCTTGGGATGGAAATTCCAGTTGAGAAGATTTTCCTTGCACAGAAAATGATGATATACAAGTGCAATCTTGTTGGCAAGCCTGTGGTAACTGCTACTCAGATGCTTGAATCCATGATCAAGTCTCCCCGGCCCACCCGTGCTGAGGCAACTGATGTAGCTAATGCTGTCCTGGAAGGCACTGATTGTGTCATGCTTAGCGGGGAGAGTGCAGCTGGGGCCTATCCGGAGCTTGCTGTTAAAATCATGGCTCGAATTTGTATTGAGGCAGAATCCTCGGTTGACTATGGGGCTATCTTTAAGGGGATGATAAAGTCAACTCCACTTCCAATGAGTCCATTGGAGAGCCTTGCATCCTCAGCTGTCCGAGCAGCTAACAAGGCTAGAGCAAAACTCATTGTCGTGCTGACACGAGGTGGCACCACGGCCAAGTTACTCGCCAAGTACAGACCAGCTGTTCCAATTGTGTCAGTGGTAGTTCCAGTCCTAACAACAGACTCGTTTGATTGGGCCTGCAGTGACGAGACACCAGCAAGGCATAGCCTGATTTACAGGGGCTTGATTCCACTTCTTGCGGAAGGATCTGCAAAGGCCACTGATTCAGAGTCCACTGAGGTGATCCTGGAAGCTGCATTGAAGTCGGCAACACAGAGAGGGCTGTGCCAGCCTGGAGATTCTGTTGTAGCACTTCATCGAATTGGAGGTTCCTCAGTTATTAAGATCTGCATAGTAAAGTGAGGTAAATTATGAAGCATGCCTACACCAGCTTCCCATTGTGCTTCTGTTATCTTTATCATTCTTAAATTCACGGACTGACTGTTTGGATTCTATTATTTTTCCACTTTCCTTGAACTATGTTTCGGGAGACCTTTAGAATTGGTTGCTCATAACCATGTTTACCTTTTAAAGGTTACGAAGGATATATTTACATGCCCTGCAATCGAAATAAGAACAGATCCTCGTATTTTTAGTACAAAATCAGGTTGAACTTTAGTCCCTTTCAAGTTTTCTCCTGACACTAATAAGGACATCATGAATTTTCAAATCTTATCATCAACCTAACAAAAAAGTTTGATTCTATGAGGAAGTACTACTTATTTACTGTTTTTTTCGGCTGCTTATTATTAGTTAATTGGGTGTACTCTCATCTTATAAATTCTGAATGACGTCTTTCCTTCCTCATTCTTAAGTTCTGCTGTGTGCTTTCTAAGTGAGTTCTGTTAGTAGTGTGCTGTGTGTAAAAATAGACGGCATCTGTGCGGCTGGGGTTATTTATGTGTGCTGTAATAAATTGGAAATCAACATTGATTCTAAGTTCCAACATTCATATGGGTAGTAGGTTTACGTAGGGAGGGATAGCAAAGATTCTCATTTGTGTGTGTGTTTGTGTTACCATTTGTTTTACTTTCATTCATGGTCCTGAAATCTTCTAGCACTGTGAGAAACGCCTAATTCATAACAAGGAGAAACGCCAAACCACATAGGGTTGTCTTGGTTTGGTTGGTATCATGGTTTTTGAAAAAGAAAATGTTTCTGAGGAAATCAATCAAGGAAAAGAATTATTATAGTGTGCTTTTTATAGTGCGGTCGATATAGTTATTTGGTTCTTGGAGGTTTTCTGATATTTAAGTCTCTATACATGCATTTGGTCTCCTGTTTGGTGTACAGTTTTGCACTCGATTTGGTTTGTTTGCCTTGTCACATGTAAAGATGGGTCGTAATGTGGAAGGAAATTGAAGCTTGAGATATATATATATATATATATACATATATATTGTCAGATTCGTTGTCTATAAAGTTTGAACTTATAGAGTAAATAGCATTTATTATGGTATCAAAGTTTTGCTTCTATCATGTACCTGGGCATTCATCAGACGGTTTTGAAAACCCAATTCATGCAAGATATAATTGTCTAAGGTGGCAAGTCAATTAGTGTATAGTGTTAATTTTGTAGGGCAAGGTCAACTTGTTCCACTAAACATTGTTTCATGTTCTCAGGTGTGATGGTTTTGAAATGTGGAACATGTTTGATGAAGCTGTAGAATATATATAGATATATATATATATATATATATATAGAATGAGACCATAATGATATATTCGCAACCATTTAGCAGGTACTGGAATGATACAACATAGATGACAAAAAAAAAAAAAAATTGATATAACATAGGGTAAATTACAGAGACTTTGGCCCTTGTGCTCAATAATATCTCTATCGTTTTTTTTTTAAATAAATCCGTTGACCAAGTTTAAAAAATGACAAATTTAGCATTCTCTTGTATAAAATGTAACATAATATATTATTTTAATATAAGGATATTATTAATTTTTTATACTTAAAGTTACTTTTTAATAGTCGCGAATGAATTTTAAAAAAGTTGGCGAATGAATTTTAAAGAAGTAAAAGTAATAAATGTTTAAGGTCTACTTGTATGTAAATGGGATAAATTTTATGAAAATTTAATTCAATTTACCAATAATATATATACAAATGATATTAGATTGAAGAGTAATGTTTTCACCATACAATAGATACTCCATAAAAGATGGAGACAATATATGCATGTTATTTGATATAAATAATAATAATAAGAATAAGATGACAAAAAGTTGAAAAAAACACACTCCATTCAAAAACATGTGGTAAAACTTTTCTTTAATTTCTTGTCTTGGTTAGGGGTCCACGGAAGGACTATTACGTAGAGTGTGATGTCACTTGGTCTTTTTGGGTTGGTGCTATAATAATACAAACCAAATCAATAATTTTGAATGTGTATGGAGTTCCAAGTCTGAATTGGATTTCCCTACGAAATCGACTTGCTCAAATTGAAAGCTGCCTGCTGCCACCACGTGCTCAAAATTTGTATGGTCCACCCATTCGTACTTCATCTCTAATATTTAATTTCAAATAAATTATTATACGTATTATTTGGCATAGTTCAGAGTTGCTCCTCGTCGGTCAAAAAGTACACCTTTTCACCCCAATAATTTCTAATATAATATTTTTATTTTGAAAAAAAAAAAAATACATAACAAGATTCTTAAAATATGTATGGCTTTCATGACAGATTTTATTGACTTGATAAGTTGTGAAAAAGGAACTAATTTGTTATTGAGAAATAAATGAAAAGGCCTCATTTGCAAATTTACAATAGATTAGATAGTTTTTGGTCATTTCAAATATTTATTTGCAAAAGTATCAGTAGGTTTTATTTATTTATTTATTTTGTGTGGATCAATTACGTATTCTTCATTATTCATCAATATTTAAGGTTTTAGAAAATTTTGAATTAAAAATTTGTGGAGAATCTTTTAGGATAAAATATAAGAGCATTTTCAATCATTGTGTGTGTGTGTATATATATTTGTATAAATCTAATGTGTTAGGATAAATTTACACAAAGATACTCTAAGATTTGACATATTAGTCGAATAAAATGATAATTTTGCCTTCTCACCACCGTATAAAATCTAAGAGCATCTCTAACTGTTGTGTGTGTATATTTATATGCGTGTGTAAATCTGATGTGCCAGGATAAATTTATATAAAAATTATGAATAACAACATCATTGTTAATGGAATTATGTTAATGTGATTTTGTAAAAGATTTCTAAAACAACGTATATTTTACATAAAAGAATATTTTAACATATAGCTGGACATACTCTAATACTATAATATATTATAACTCACTTTTTTATTGTTCCGAGGAAGTCAAAATAATAAAACCTTCAACAATTTAACCATATATAATTGATCAAAATCTAAAAGAAATATATATATATATATATATATATATATATTCAGCCGCCGTGGATATGGACTAGTCTTTTTAAGGAAAGAAAAAAATAGATAAGTACCAGCTGTAGTGTGGAGAAGGAAAAAAATACTCAAAGGATAAGTTTTTGAAGAAAAGCAGTAATACCGAAGAAGAATATTTAGGTCCAATCTAAAGTTGGATGAACGAAGACTTATCCTTTATCAGTCATTCAAATAAGATTGTACTCCTAGTATTTTAAATTTAAAAGGCTCTGAACACTTTGAAGGGTAGCACAATTATAAATGCCGACAAATATATTATCTCTGTCTAGAATCTACTAGATTAAGAATCACGATACAAGAGTGGACTTATTTTACCCAACACACAGTCACACACAGGAATACACTATATATAGAGAGAGGATTGGTGAGGAGAAGAAACAAGTAGATTGGGGAAGGAAAAAAAAATGGAGAGAGCGTTCATAAATTTCGTATTTTGTGGGCTATTATTACTGATAGGATGTGTTTCATCAACCACAGTGAGAGACTTGGATCCACTCATCAGACGAGATCTGCTGGCCAATGGTCTTGCCAACACTCCTCCAATGGGGTAAATTTTATATATCTCTGTGTGTATGCTTTTCTCTCTATAGTGTCTATACAATATACATACGTATATCTGTGTGTACTCTGTACACAAAACATCACTGCCTCACTGCGACTGGTTTAAAATTTTATTTGTATCTTGTTTACATACACTTTTTTTTTTTTTTTTCCTTTGATTTGCCTTGTAATTTGTTTCCTAGTTCCTCCTTTAACATTGCTAGTATTTAATTTTTTGGGTTTGTTATTTAAGTCAAGATGTTGTATTTTTACTTTAGGTGGAATAGTTGGAATCACTTCAGCTGCAAGATTGATGAGAAAATGATCAAAGAAACAGGTAATTTAGTTACTTTTTGGTCACCCCAACTATTATTATTATTGTTAATGTTATAGTTATTATTAGTTTTATTGTTACTAAAGTTACTATAGTTATTTGTTTAAATTTGTATTTCTTTGTCCCACAGCTGATGCTCTGGTTTCAACTGGTCTTGCTAAGCTTGGATATAAGTATGTCAACATAGGTATATACTCTAATCTTCTTCTCTTTTATTTCTTTCTTTTCTTCTTTTCCCTATTTTTGTTTTCCTTTTAATTATCATTATCAAGAACACCAGTAGCTAATAAACATGTATTTTGCTTCTTTAGATGATTGCTGGGCAGAAATTGCTCGTGACGACAAGGTTTGCCTGTTCTTGTGTTATTTTCTTTTTGGGGAATTGTCATAATTTTTTGTGTCTCATAATTTTGTATGTATAAATTCTGAAATGGGATTTGAATTCTCAGGGTAATCTAGTGCCTAAGAAATCTACATTCCCTTCCGGCATCAAAGCTCTTGCTGATTATGTCCACAACAAGGGCCTTAAGCTAGGAATTTACTCAGATGCAGGGTAACATAACTCTAAACATACAGTGTTTGTTTAATTCATCATTTGAACTGAGTGATGCATGTCTTTAAGCTCTACTTTTTTTGCAGTTATTTTACTTGTAGCCAAACAATGCCTGGTTCACTCGGTCACGAGGAACAAGATGCTAAAACCTTTGCTTCATGGGTATGATTTATAGTGATTTGCTGTTATGAATAGATTCTATAGTAGTAACTTTGTTTATAAACCAATGTACAAGAATTAGAAATTCATCATTTTTTATTACTATCTGGTCTAGCTGTGAAGTAACACACCTACATTACAGGGTATCGATTATTTGAAGTATGACAATTGTTTTAATGATGGGTCAAAGCCAACTGTTCGGTAATTAAATCATTTCTGCCCTAATCCTTAAATATCATCAATTTGTTCTGCAGTTAAATGTTTCAACTTTTTAGTATTTTGTGATAAAATTATTTTCTACTTTTTTACATTATGTAGATACCCTGTGATGACCCGGGCTCTAATGAAAGCAGGCCGTCCCATCTTCTTCTCACTATGTGAATGGTGATTCTATTATTCTGTATTTATGTTTTTCTTGTCGGATCTCAATAAACTCAGTTATGTGCATTTCTTGGTTTGACATACTTTTCTATCTGTTTTGTATATGTATTAGGGGAGACTTGCACCCAGCATTATGGGGAGCTAAAATAGGAAATAGCTGGAGAACTACTGGTGACATTGCTGATACATGGGAGAGGTAGTATTTTATGCTTTTTTGAAGTTTATATTTGTATACAACGCTTTCATCATACATGGGAAAGTTATATGCTTTTTTGAAGTTTATATTTGTATTTAATGTAGTCTTCTAAACTCATCATTTCAACCTCTTCATTCTAAAACAGTATGACCTCTAGAATAGACATGAATGATGTTTATGCTGAACTTGCAAGGCCCGGTGGATGGAATGGTAAGAAATTTCCCATAAATCCCGTACATGCACAATTTGTAGCAAGAATACATTGTTATCATCATATGAGACAAATGCCCTCTGAATCGATTTGAACAGATCCTGACATGCTTGAGGTTGGAAATGGAGGGATGACCAAAGATGAATATATTTCCCATTTTAGTCTATGGGCCATTTCCAAGGTATTGTGGAGGGCTTTACACTTTGGTTTAACAAACCATGTTCCTGTAATCTAAGGCTCCCCTCTCTCTTTTTATTTAATTGCAGGCTCCACTTCTCATTGGTTGTGATGTGAGAAATGCAACAAAAGAGACAATGCAAATTATTTCCAATAGTGAGGTGATTGCTGTAAATCAAGGTAACTACATCTATCAAATGCAGAACTCCATAAATTTGAGTTCCTTTTTTTTATAAAATTAAAATGGTAAAAATCCAACTGTGGTTCTCTGAATAGTTAACTTCATGATCATTTTTAAATAGATGCCCTAGGCGTTCAAGGGAAAAAGGTTAGGATGGAAGGCGACCAGGAGGTAAATTTACTAACATCGTCTCGTTATACATTGTAGCTTGCTCCTTTATGAATGATTTGCAGAGCAAAATATACAATCTGCATTTTCTTTTACCAGGTTTGGGCTGGTCCCCTTTCGGGCTATAGAGTAGCTGTAGTCCTTCAAAACCGAGGTCCTCATCGTATTAACATTACAGCCCGCTGGGATGATATTGGGATTCCTCCCAACAGTGTTGTGGAAGCAAGAGATCTTTGGCTGGTAATTTTTATAACTTACCACTAGCCTTGGGATAGTCTGAGTCTCTCTCTTTTGTTATTGTTCATTACACAAGTGTTCTTGATAAAATGGCACTTGCGTGGAATCATATATCTCATAATGTAACTTCTACTTGTGGTCATCTCATGCAGCACAAAACATTGAAGAAACAATTTGTCGGGCACTTGACAGCCACCATGAATGGTCATGCATGCAAGATGTTTATATTGAAGCCTATTTCTTGAGGTTTGCTAGCAGCAAATGCTTGTGATATTTTCTATGCTTCCCTCCATTCGACTTCACATTGAGTTCAACAGAACAATAAAATGACTATTTTAGTTGGCAATAAAGTTGATTTTCATGGAAATTGAGGTTCCCTTTATTAAATGTTTATATGAATTTTGGTTTTACATTTTGCTGTTTTTCTGTGAAGAACCTGTGTGTCTGAGTTCAATGGTATTGTGAATTTGGTTTTCAATTTACCTATAAATCTGGTATGATGGCATTTTGAGTAACACACCCTAATCAATGACTGAGTTACAATGATACCATGTTTGTAAATTAGTTTTGTTTGTGAAAGCTTTTAGGGAGAGTGGATTCGATACTGGACTAAATTCTCAAAACTGTCAAAGCTAATTTTTGAGCACCACTGTGTTGAAAATTTTTTACATGGTTCGCGTTCTTGAATGAAGTCTATCCAAACCGAATTAGCACTTCTCAGATCAGGCTAGGCCTCTCCGGCTGAGCCGGGCTAGGGTCCCTGGATGCCCTAGCAATTGGCACATAGGGGAGTGGTTGCCGGGCTTTCTCGGCCTGGTAACCTGGGACTATCGATCTCAATCAATCATGTATTCACACATCAATCATGTATTCACACAAATAAATGTGGTAGTTTCAATATTTTTGCTTGTGTGTCTTGTGACTGTCCGGATCAGATGGCTATGATTTCTCACCTATGTTCGACTCTTTGAAGAAAAAGTAGAACTATATGCCTCATTATAATCTTCTGACTACGAGCTACCTCAACCCTAGTGCTGCTTCAACATGCAAATCTCGGTTTGATAGAAAGAATGGAAGAGATGGGAAGAGAAAATGGTACCATCATCATTTTACTAATATATCGCAAATATATAAAATTATTTCCGGGGACAATAATGTCATTTCAAATTTATTTAACAAATATTTTATCCACTTCTCCCCCATTGTTTGCCATGTAATCTGCCATATAAAGTCGAGAGAACAGATGTTTGTTTAGGATTAAATACATAACTCAAACAAAAATAATGACAAGTAATTCAAAAGTTGAATGAATTTAGATGCTAACTTCCGAAATATTTCTCCTCAAACAAATGATATACTAACAAATAAGATTATATTTAACTTGCAAATCGGAAATCAATGTCTTGTAGCAGCATAAAACACACACACACACACAGTTCTCCTGAGGCAACTGCAACCACTGATGGCACAATTTACCTTCTTGCTTCTTACTTCCTTTACATGCTTACATATCTCCTCAATATCCAAAAAGGGATTAAATTTGAAAACTTAAAACTAATTCTACAATTTTTTATTTATTTATTTTTTTTTAAAAAAAAACCGTACATACCCAAGCATCATATCACAAAATTATAAATGCTTTATCGTTCTGGAAGATCCATAGTATGAAATCAAAATCCTTAAAATTAGATTGAAGATTGAGGAATTGAAAGAGATTCACTCTGAGAAGGGAAAGCCTCTGATATTGTATCCCAAGACAGTTTCTCATCCCTCCTTCCCCTTCGATCCAAGAAAGCCGGTCTCATTGGCGTTCCAACCATTTCTGCCTTGCATGTTAATATAGCTACAATCTCCGACATGGGTGGTCGTAGGTTCGCGTGGGGCTGAAGGCATAACAAGGCCACATGAATTGCTTGCAAAACATCTCTCTCCACAAATCCATCTTCTTGCATTTTTGGATCAACCAAATCAATCACCTTTGACCTCTCATACAACTTCCATGCCTAATACAACAAAATTAACAAAAAATCATTGACAATTACACTCTACCTAAGACGGGAAAAAAAAAAAAAAAAAATCTATATATGAAGTTTTCTGAGAAGGTAAAAGACATACATATTCGGGGAGGTATTGTCTTTCAGCTTCCAAAGTAAGATCTGTGTTTCTCCTGCAGCCGATAATTTCAAGAAGAAGAACTCCAAAACTATATATGTCAGCCTTTTCCGATAATTCCCCTCTAATGGCATACTCAGGTGCTGTATAACCTCTGGGAAGAAGGTAAAATGAAAAGGAAATTATGATCAGATGACCTTAAAACAAGTAATAAAATCCAGAATTATGAAAAATTGCTTAGAGTAAACCATTCCAGATTATATCATTCAAAAGCACCTTTGTCTGAACTATAGCATATTCTTCAACTTCAGTTTGGAACACATTTTATGCCAGCATGAAAAATGAATATTCAAAAACATTTGAAGATTTTTACAGTTTTGGAGGTTTTACTGTCACATTTTATCAAAGAAGGTGGTTTCCTTTTCTAGATTCATCACCACATGAATTGCTAATTGTCTTGAGGTGTTAAACAACCTTTTTTTTTTAATAAATAAATGTTCAAAAATTTCAGAGGCTGGTTTTATAACTTCTGTCATAAAACAAAAAAAAAAAAAAAAAAAATTGAATTTATTTTTGTTATGAAGAATTAAATCGAAACTGCATTAGTAGTCTGCTTAGCTGATTTTGCAAAAACCATTCACTTCATATGAAAAGACTATCAGGAAAAAGACTTACAAAGTTCCTGCAAATGTAGTGCTGAGATAAGCTTGATCTTCAGGAAAGAATCTGGCTAGGCCGAAATCTCCAATCCTCGGTTGAAACTTGTCATCGAGAAGAATATTACTAGCTTTGATATCTCTGTGAACAATCCTGAGGTGTGAATCCTCATGAAGGTATTGCAATCCTCGAGCAATGCCAAGAATAATTTGGAATCGGGCGTTCCAATTCAGGAACCGATCACTTTTCCCTGCATCATGTGAGATTTATAGTACTTAATCCAAGTAAAAAAAAAAATTAACTCTAGAGAGTACTTTGGCTGAAACTTTGAAATAATAATGATACCGTGTACTATGAGGTCCAAACTCCTATTCTCCATGTATTCATACACAAGCAACCTTTGAGCTCCATCTGAGCAACATCCGAGAAGGCGAACCAGGTTCTTGTGTTGTATGCTGGTGATCATCCTCACCTCTGCAAGGAATTCCGATTCTCCTTGCTGGGACATGTCAAGAGATAGTTTCTTCACTGCAACCATCCTCCCATCTTCCAACTTCCCCTATGGAAAGAAAAAAAAAAAAAAAAATTATAGTATCCTTATTAATGTAAAACAATGAAATGGACCTAATCATGAAAAAAATACTTTTACCCTCCTACAATATCGACTGATAAAATGCTGAATTAATTAGTTTCAACTTTTAATATGAAGACCATAATTGATCCTCCACAGTCATTGATCGAGTCATCCAAAATCTTATAGTTAAAGTATGATTTCGAACACATATCTAACATGTAAATGGCTGAGTACAAAAATAAAATGTAAACTTCATCAAAGAACTTGGATTATTCAGTATTAATACCCGATACACTGGCCCGAATCCACCTCTTCCCAGGAGATTATTGTTGTGGAAGTTCTTAGTTGCCTTCTTTAGTGTCTGGTAGTTAAAGTAGCTTATTGTTCGTAGATTCCCGCTAAAAAGATCAGTTGCTGCTGCAGTAGAATAAGAGAGAAGCTAGATAATATAATGTGGTGTAATAAAAGTTGGTTTTCTGATCAATTCTCACACATAAGCCAGTTCCTTACCTGGCCGCTTTTTAGTTTTCAGTACAAACTGTTTCAACTCTGCTGGTTTGATAATTTTCCGAAAGACAAATAAGAGGATCACAAGTATTAGGAGCACAATTATCCCACCAAGGAAAAAGAATAAGGCCGGTGAAGAAGACATGTGAGCTGGAGAGCTTTGTATTTGTAACGCCGGCGAAGAAGACTTCTGAACTGACGAGGTTTTTGTTCCAAGTATAGAGGGTGAAGGACAGATCACTGCATGTACAATTCATGAAAAATTACTTTTTATCGAGCTGAATTAGAATCAGAACTTATAAATTTATAATTAGATGTAAAACCTTTTTGTCATGCCTAAATTTTATGAATAGATATACTTTTTATATTCTTTTTCTTTTTTTTCTCAAAAGGCTCCCATATTCTTCAAAACCAGATTCGAAGTTGTGATCAACTAGCTTCGATCAACTCCAATATAGGAGAAAGAAAAAGAAAAGGCTTTAAAAAAAAACACAGAGGGGTAGAGAGCCGTTAAAATTTGAAAGAATCAAACCCACCATACACAAGTGTTAAAATGCCAATTGCTCCGAAAGCTTAAGTTGTAAGAAAATGGACCCAACAATGTATATTAAGCTCTAACACTCCCCCTCACTGGCAACCCTGTCATGCACGTGACGAGGCAAACAAATCAAAGCAAGAACAAAACAAGGCGCAAACTTGCACACCATATTGGGTAACAAATACAGAGAAGGCCAGATACCATAATTTACGACACTCCTAGAACCAAATCTTTGGAATCATATAATAAGACTGCTAATTGACCCAAAAGCTTGAGGTGAGGTCTATGCATATTTGTTAGAGACTGAGTTTAACCATGCATGTCAAACTCCACATCTTGCACATGGCGAGGCAAAAGATTAGAACAAGTGCAAACTTGCACACCAAATTGGGAACAAATTCATACACGTACGAATCTGGATCCCCCTCATTTGGACGGGATCTAGATTGTTAGTGTAACACATTACGTCGTAGTGCAACACATACATAAAAAAGTTGTTGTTGCATACGCGATGTAGTGTAATTGTTGCATAAACGATGTAATGAGCATAGAATGCCGTGAAGGATGAAGTGGCACGCGCGTGGGATCCAGGTTCATACATGTACGCTTGAACCACCAACTCCCCAATAAATACCATGTTAGACCACTAATTGCTCCAAAAGTTTAAGCTATTAGAAATTGGACTCAACAGTGTATATCAGGCTCCCACAAAATTAAAAGTATGATATTTAGATTTGCATTATTAATCCAATTATCATGTCATTTGGTATTTTGGATTTGGAATTGAAGGCGCCGATTTGGTGCCGCGAAACATAGGTGTATACAATTAACATTAAGTGCAGTACTATCACAAGTTCTTGCAGTTTATTTATGATTAGAATTATAGAAATCAATTTATGAGTCATCTGATCACCAAATAAAGGTTGTTGCAACATATATAATATAAATAAATAAATAAATATATATATATATATATATATATATATATATATATATATATGCATATATAAATGATCATATGATATTTCAATACTTAATTGCGTAACTAATGAATCCAGATACATACATGCATAGGTATATGTACATACACCTATTAGTGTTATATATGCGAGTGTAAATCGTTATTGTTTAGTTATTAAGTGTATCATCATCTATAAACATATATATATATATATATATATATATGACAGAGACATGCAATTGATGAAGTCTACACAGGGATCAGAGTTGAAAGTCAATTAGTGGAGCGAAGTGGTAGTAAGAGGTCATACCTTCTTTCAGTGCTAAACCGCGCATATTTTCCACTGACTACTGATCAAAAATGAAGGATGAGAGAGAGAGAGGGGGGTTACTGGTGAAATGGAGGGAAGCACATGGGAATGATCGATGGACGCGGCGGAATCTAATTTCGGACAATTCAAAGGAAAATGAAACGATGGATACAATGATATATACACACACACACACCATCTAAATGTGGACTAGTCACTAGACGGCTATAATATTTATTTATTGCTAAAACATAACCTTCTCTAACTTCAGGTTGCATGTTTGGTGATGTTAAGGCACCATTTTCCGTAAGAAATTAAAAAAAAAAAAAAAAAAATGTAAAACTGTTTTTACACATTTTCTCAATGTGTGCTGCTAATATTTAATTGCGGATATAGAGTTAAATGTAATAAAGAGAGAAAAAAAAAAAAATAAAGTATAGAGGAATGGGCCTTTTTGGTTTGGACGTCTTGCGTGGACTTTCACTGTTGGGTCAAAATGGGCCTTCTTTTTCCATTCCTTCATAACTCGTACCACGTTTGATCATGCGTGCAACCCATACCTTTTCTGCCCAAAGTTGATTGTATTTCATATGAACCCAAACAAAACCAAATACCATACAATTACAACGGGTTAATAGATATATATATATATATTTTGGTGCAAATTAAATGTTCACTATCTCTTTAGATTCAGATCGAATTTTAAAGAACTATGTAGCAAGGAGTAGCCAAGGACCAAGTCTGATCACAAACCAAAATGTAAAAAAAAATCGCTAATTAGTCATTTAAACTGATCAATCTACAAATTTTAATTTGAACCAAACAACATAATATGTAGCATAGACATAAAATCACTCACTAAAAATAAATGTGGATCAAAGTAGGGACGCTTTTTCCCACAAAATTCTAACATTAGGTTTTAAGCCAAAAACATTAGCTTTTGGCTCTGTGATGGTTGAAGAGAAAAATGTTTACAGGAGCATAGATTTTACCTATATAGTGTTCTTCCCAGTGACACTACCAAAATTGCACCTGTTTCAATCTAGAACAACATATATTTTCAGCTTGTTCCACAGACCTATGGACTGGGGAAAGTATTTCCCAACACAAAGTTACCGATACCATTTTCATTTCTTCAAACTAAGCCAAAATCTGCCATGTGAACCACAAACAAGCTTACCCCGAACTAAACTCAATTCCTCAAGGCAAGTAATAATCACTACTCTCAATGTTTAGTCACAATTCTAAGTGTAGAAATTTAACTTGTGGAACGTAGCAGTTTAACTCGTGGCTGCTAATGATGATGACAAAAAATATGATCATAAATAGTAATAAACTGAAGAAACAAAAAATAGCATATCTAATTTTCCTCAAGCTCATTGCAAAGCTACTGAAGTTCACAAGATGAACTAACATATATCAAAACGAGCTCATTAGCATTAACGCCAAAGGAAGGGCTTGAAATACCTACATAATGTATAATGTATGTAGGTAGCTTGAATCAAGGAAACAATGACTAAATGTAATGACGGCTGATCCTCCTTTGGAGGATGCCTGCAACCGTTTTCCAGAAGCTGTTTCTTCTGGTTTTGGAGGAGCATCAAGCTGAGATGAGGCTAAAGCGCACCAATCCATACCACCGGATCAACAGAAGTCAATCCTTCTCTTTCGTATAGTTGATTTAACAAGGAAGACTACGAAGTATTGCTAAATAGAAGGATTAATTTGAACCTTTTTTGCTAATAAGAGTTGCCATTGGACCCTCATAACTGATTTTGCTAAACCAACCTCTTACTAATAAGGAGTACTGACTTTATATAGGAATTCTGGGAGAATTCTTGAAATTTCTACATCTACAGAACCATTGATATGTTCATCTACTCACCATACCTACTTTTCCTTCCTATCACCGACTTTGAGTAGCTGTTCGTTCTACCAGTACTAACAAACTATATCCACTGTGGTAAAGATTAAACTAGACTACCATTCAAAATATGACCTACAAAATGTGGCTAACCAAATTACCCTTTAATTTTTCCACAAGACACTCAACACCAAGACTGAAGCAACGCTGAGATATAAACTGCACGTGGCAATATAAAATTAAATGTGAGACGCTCAAAACTCAAAAACCATATATACTTAAGGAAATAAAGACAGACCAGCTCGAGCAATTAGGAGAAAAACAAAACAGAGTCAAATCCTCTAGTTGAGAATTTTTATACAGTGGCTAGACCCAGGTCATTGGAATGCAGTACATGCTGTTTCTCATCACAATGGAGCTTAGACTCATACCACTCTAGAGGTGTTGGCACATGCCATGAGCATGCATTAACTGACCTTGTGATTTCCATTCCTCTCTTCTTCAGTCTTCATGCCACATCCATCAACCAACAACACCATTAAATGGCCAGATGACTGAAGAATTATGCTTTCTAGATGACTAACAATCTTTAAAAAAAAAAAAAAAAATAGATTACCTGACAAGATCATTTCAGATATGCAATATCATGTCTTATAGAGTGGCATGAATAAAGCTTGACATTTCATGGGGATGAAAAGCTATTCAGTCTACCAAACGTGGAAACACCATATATGCATTACTTTATGCTATTACATTTCTCTTTCGGAAATTTATGCTATTACATTTTTGCAAAAGCTTAGAGGCAAAAAATTCGAGGGCAAAGGTAAATAAGGGATCTACCTCAATCATTTAGAAGTCCACACCCGTACTCACACAAGACCACCACCGTAACTAGCAAGACATTTCTCTTTTCATCCTGAGCCACAAAAAGAGATGACATTTCACTAGGGTAAAGGCTCAAGTAGATTTTGATCCTTTATAATTTCATTTATGAAGACGGTGCAATTTTACTCCACAAATGGGATGCTGGCAGAAGATTAAATATGACAATAATTGTACTCTTTCAATAATTAATCAAGGATCAGGTCAGAAGAGAAATAAATGCATTTCAAGTATGCCATTTTTCGCACAAATCACATTTGAACTGCCTCCAAGACGATACTAACATTCCAGATGTAGTTTCCATTCTGATTTGATCTTCAATAATTGTCTAATATATAAGCTACCAATATTTCCATTTGATGCACCACATTGTGCAATACTTACAAAAAAAATGCACCACATTGTGCACTAGTTACGAAAAAAAATGCACCACATCGTGCACTACTTATCAAAAAAATGCACCACATTGTGCACTACTTATCAAAAAAATGCACCACAATGTGCACTAGTATTTCTACATTTACCCTGGGGATGAGATCACATGAGTATCTAGGAGGACTTAGTGCTTGCAATTGTCACAGTAGTGTGATTTCATATGTTTTCCGCAGTTGTAACAGAAAGTGTATTTACATCTGCAATCATACACAAGGGGAATAAGTGAATAAATATGGTAAAAGATAATATAAACAATGAAAATTATTCTATCAAAAGTTAGTCCTTGGATAAAAAGTTGTGATCCATGCTTGCCAACGACCTCAATTAGACGCTAATGTTGTGTTTGGCGGAAAGAAAGAAGGGGAAGTGAGAAGGATATAGTTTTGATAGTTTGGTAGAAAAGAAAGAGGAGGGGCCTTTTCCTCCAGAGCCACCGTATTCATTCTTCCCAAAGTGGAAGAAAAAGGAGAGGAAAGTCTCCCCCCACATTTTTCTAGAATAAAAAAGGGGTGTATTCCGTTGATATGTAATCTTGCAATGGTGAAATTGTAAACTATCCTTCCTTCCTCCTTTCCTACATCCCCTTCCTTCTTTAAATATTTCCTCGCACAAATTGAAGCGTAAGGTTTTTATAGGTTGTAAGCTAAAGTCATATCACAGTTGTGTCACACAGGAACTAGGAAGATATGAAATTAATATAAATCTGAGAAAGCTAAAAAACAACATCAGGATTAAGAACAAGATTATACTCCATCAAGCTTCCTATGCAAAATTAGAACACATCTCTCCTTAATAATAACAAAATTTTGACTGAATTCATCAGAACCGCTCAAGTAAGTAGCACCAAATACAGCCCCCAAGAAGCTGTAAACATGATATCCTAATGCTTAAAGTAGCTCCCCAGATACAATTATAACCACATTGTGCAAGCAAGCAGAGCTCATCAACAACATATGTCAATTTAATGAGCAAAAACATGTAGCCCAGATAAAACTGCTGCAACCCCCTTCACATGTAGGTTGACACCACATGAAAGGCAGATAAACAAAGAGGAATGCCTTCATGTTTACTAAAGGGGTAGCCCAGTGCACGAGGCTCCCGCCAATGTGAGGAGGGTTTGATGCACGCAACCTTACCTCCGTATGTGTGGAGAGGCTGCTTGAGTTCGCTGACAGACTCAAAACCCATCTACATGAGTTTCATATAAAATGGACAAAACAGAAGATAGACTAACCAACCTGCATAGCATGAACAGACAGCCTTCAGATCTCTCAACATAGAATCTGCACTTGGGACACCTAATCCACTTCTTGTTCTTAGCAAGCTGCATCAACATAATATCCTCCCTCTCTCTCTCATTCTTGTTCAATTTCTGAAAATCCGCACACTCAATCCCCAGATGCCAAGCCACCTTACACTGCGCACAAAACAACCTGTGGCAATAGGGACACTCCGATTGAATAATAACCTCTCCATTTTCTGGGTCATCGATCAAAAGCGCCGAACAATCCTTGAAAGGGCAGTAAAATTTCTCAGACCCAAGAATCACTGCCTCGCAGAGAGCACTTCCCCACCGATCAAACACCTCCGGTGGCAAAATGGGTCGGCAATGCTCGGGCTCCAAAAGCCCTTCACAGCCCGAAACAGGGCATCCAATCAGCGTGATGTTTTCTTGTAGCTTAGAAGCCACATACTTGATCATACAGTCAGAACAGTATGAATGTGAACAACCCATTATGCGAAATGACTCGTTGAATGACTTTGGCTCAACACAGATTTCACACATAAAGGTACTAGTATAAACGGCATCACCAGAAGGATTTGAATTTGAGTGAGAAGACTCCCCAGTTTCGGCGATTGTAAAGGTCTTTTTTCTTCTCTTCGGATTGGGCGTCCGTGAAGCTATGACTTTAACATCATCGTCGTCAGTTGGGTATTCGTTAGATACGTCGATGATCCTTCTTCTAGATCCATTGGGTGCTGGGAAGGAGAGAGAGGCGGCGATTGCGAGATGGAGGTCTCTGTCCTCAGAGTACTGCTCAACTGAGATATAATTGTGATAATATAGCAGTGTCATATCATCGTCTTCGTCATCGATATTCACTATACCTGTAGCTGACATGCCCATTTTCTCAGGTGGTGATTGCAGCGCGATGATTATAGTTGGCTTGCTTTCTTCGTCTTCGTGTTGTTCATGGTGGCTCTCTGGCTCTGGCTCTAGCTCTGGCTCTGGCTCCCGTTCTGGTGGTGGAAATGGTGTTTATATTGGCTAGGGTGGTCGTCAGCTTCTCTGTCGTGCCATTACTGTTGCGATTGGTTTTCAAAACTCTTCTTCGCCTTTTCATCATTATATCCTGTGTGTGTGAATTCAGAAAGCAAATGAAAAGCAGATCTTTGTTAGAAATCTTTTAAATTTTGGTAATCTTCTATTCTCACATTTCCCAACGGAAACTTAGGGCTACAGGTCTGTGAACTGGATCATTCAAATTTCAAATCCTTTAATATGGGTGTGATGATTAGCCAACCCAAAAACTACCTCTGTCTCAAGAAAACAGTGACCTTAATAAGGATGGTCGTGTTAATTTAATTTAATTTGTGTGAGTCACGACTTTTTTGAAATGAGATTTTTATGGCACAAATGAATATTAGTTTAGGGTGGTGTTTGAAATTTTAGTACTTCACTTAATTTTAAATGTACAATTATTACTTATATATGAAAAAAAATTATTGGACAGATTTCATTCAAATTGCAACTTTACACTTCATCTTTTATACTACCTTGTCCTATTTTAAATGTCTATTTTAAAAACTGTGACACAAATATAAAATACTAATCTTAATTGAGAGGTGAACAAGGCACACAACTAACCCTAGATTGAGAGATGGGCAAGACAAAACAATTTGCAATATTGATTTTTTTGGGTGACATTTTTGTTTTTCATTCTCTCATTAATTCTTCCCAAAAATAAATAATCCCTTTCTTATTATTTGACTTATTCATTTGGCTAATTCTTTCAAAAAATATAAATCCACTTCAATTGTGATAAAATTACCTAGTTTATTTTTGTAATCTTTTAGCATTTGAGTAATGATACTCCATATCGAATACTTGCAGTGAATTGTCTAATCGAATAATTTTTAATTAACTATTTATACTAAATACAATTAAATAGGGTTTTACTTCTTTATTTGTTGTATAATTGACCAATTAAAAAAATAGGTCTAGTAATTCACTGTATGTATTCAATGCAACAATTATTTTTCTTAAAATAAATATCAAATGAAAAAACTCCATTTATAAGTATCACTTAAAACTTCTCAATTTATAAGTGTCACTTAAAATTTCAGCACTTGAAATCAATGTCTTAAATGACCTAAGGCCTTGTTGGGATTGCTTTCAATTTTAAATTTTGAGTTTAAAAAGGGAAAACCACATGTTAGGACCTTAAAAAACAAAATGGTTTATTTTTTAAAATTAATATTTCACTTTAGTTGAATTAACTAAAATAATTACATATGCATCAATAATTATTATTCAGACCCAAAATACCCTCCAAACTTTTAATATCAAAATACTAAATTATTCTCCTTAAATCAAGTACTTTATAGAAATAATTTTTTTAATTGTTAACTTTGAACCATATTCTTATAACTTTTGTATATGAGAACTTAACAAATAATAAATAAATAAAAAATCAAAATAGTAAAAAACCTGGACAAAAGAGTTAAAAAAAAAAACCCCATAAATTATACCATTATTGCGTAATGTCCCTTCACTATTTTTGAGAGTAAACTAACCCACGGTAGAAATGTTGCATGTTACCCCATATTGCCTCCCTTGGACAACACTATCCGGCAGTCGGAGGTCACTTTCAGACCGGCATAGGGGCACAATTACTTATTTATCCTTATTTATTAATTTATAATAAAAATAAAAAACATAATATATATAAAATACCAATAATACCCTCAGAATATTTAATTTTTTTCTTCATCTTCCCCGCAGCCGGCGACTGTACGCGCCACCGACGATGACAACCTTGCTGTGAGAGCCAAGACACCAACAAAGGAGCTTAGTCCAAGAAATAAAAAAAAATAAAAAATAAAAAATAAAAATAAAAAATAAAAAATGAAAATTAAAGCAAAAGCTATTTGCTCACCATACCCAAGATGTAGGATTTGTAAAGCAACCCAAACAGGGCATTAAATAAACAAAGAATTGAAGAAAATATTTGGAAAAACCAACTGAGATTCATCCACCATGCCATCGCGGCACCTCCATCCCAACCAGGGCCAGCTCGACCCTTAGGCGACTTAGGCGGTCGCCTAAGGTCCCAACTAATAAGAAGGTCCCTAAAAGTATTCTTTCCTTTTTGTATTAGACTTCTTAAAATTTTTATTTCATTTATATGTTAGGCCCTAAAATTATTATTTCAACTTCTAAACATTTTATTTCCTTTCATTATTAGATAACCGAGCCAATAAGAAGCCCCCTAAAATTATTATTTTCTTGCTTTATTAGACTTTTTAAAATTTTTATTTCCTTATATTATTAAGTCCCTAAAATTATTATTTTATCTTTCTGAGTTCCTAACATATTTATTTCCTTATATTATTAAGTCTAACTAATTGTAACTATTTCCTTACTATAAGGCCCTAAAATTATTACTTCCTTACTGTATATTATTATTGTTATTATTATTACTCCTATTATTTACAATATATATATATTGCCGGGTTAACAATATATTATAAATTTCTTTATTTTATTATATTATTATACTCGTAGTTAAAAAAATTTGATTAATTCTAAAATTTTCATTTCACTTTCTATCAAAATTCACATATCTATTCCTTATCTAATTTTTTTTCCTCCTCCCCCTTCTTCCACGTTTCTATTGAATATATATTTAACTAATAGTTAAAGCTAAAAAAAAATTAACTAATAATTGTTGAAACTAATTTTTAAATAAATTAAAAATAATACAATAGTGAAAAAAAAATATTATTTACTTAGATTTGTGTTGCACTACTCTCAAATAATTTTATTTAAATAATATTATTAATACATTAAGAAGTCATTTTTATAATTTTTACCTGGGCCTCAAATTATATTGAGCTGTCTTGATCCCACCCATGGCCTTAGCCGCTGCCACCACACCACAATGACCAAAATTATCTCTTAAATTTTTGTAAATTATTAGAAAGATTGTCAGATGTTTTAAATTTGAAAAGTAAGTTCATGAATGTAAAGAAAGATGGGTCTGCAGAGGTGCGGTGACGAAGGAGAAGGAAAATGGGTGTGCAGAGCTTCGGTTAGACAGAGAGAGAAAGGAGAGAGGGAGAGTAAACTATGCCTCGATATTTAAAAAATAATAAAAATCTAAAGTCAGCAGCGGCTGCTGACATGTGGCAACTGTGCAATTCTCTTAGTAGCAAATGGGGGCTATAAAGTCATATTGAAGGGCATTTTGGCCATTAATTGAAAAAACTAAAGGCCCGTGGCCCACGATTACCGAAAAGTGCTCCCCAAGTGGCAATATACAACATTTTTATAGTTGAAGGGTTAATTTGTTCTCAAAAAATAGTTTAAGGGGCAATATGTAACACTGGTATAATTTATGAGAGAAAATTAAGAGAAGGATAATTTTAACCTCTTATCGCATTTGGTTGATTAGTGAAGGAAAAAAAAAAAAAAGAATAATAATCATGTTTGAGAAAAAAAATAAAAGAGAATTATTTTAATACTATTTTGCCCTTTTATATTTTAAAAGATAAATTTATATATTTAATAAGTCCACCAAAAAAGAAAAAAAAAAATTGGCAAAAATAGGCATAAGCTATAAGGCCCATGGATAATGGGCCACCAGAAAAGTAAAGGAAAAATTAAGGCAAACAACAAAATCTACACGAATCAGAAGAGAGAAATTCGTATACTTCACCCATATTGGCATATCATTTCAGCTTGTTCAAAAAAGTAAAACCTATCCGTATACTTCACCCATATTGGCATATCATTTCAGCTTGTTCAAAAAAGTAAAACCTATCCAGGGTTTGCCGTTCGCAAGCTTCAGCCACTAGCTCCGTCAACTCTCAAGCTTGCCCCCCTCTCTCTGCAACCGCTAATGGGTATGTATGGGTTTTGTAATTCTTGCTTTGATTTTGTGTAAGAGTAAATTAAAATCTCTCCTTCCTTTTCCTTCCAATTCCTTCCATTTTTGGAAGTTTAAGAAAATTATTGTTCAAGCCTACTGATATCCTTCCAAACCCTTCCCTTTTCTTCAAACAATTTTTGCCAAAAACAAATTTTTAATCCCCCACCATCACCTTCCCTTCCCTTTCCTCCCTTTTTCATTGCACCAAACTGACCCTAAGGTTTTTTTTTGAAAAAATTCCATTATAATCCTACTTTTACACTTAAAAAGACAATCAAGTCCTAAAAATAAATTTTAGGACAAATAAGTCCTATTTTTACAATTTATTTCCATCCAAATTCTTTCTAAATTATAATACCTTATTTACCCCTGGAATGTTGGATGATGGTCAAGGAAGTCCAGTGTTTGATCCACTCTCTCTCCATTATTATTTTCGCCTGTGAAGGAAAAATACTAGTTTGCAAACAAAATCAAAAGCAAAGCAGAGCACGAAATTCTTCTGAGAGGATGCACAAACCAAAGGAATTGTTTCAAATATCTCAAACTAATTTTACATCATCATCATCAAAATAATTTTACATCCTCAAATCAATGCTCAGATCCACAGTACCTCTTTCATTCCTGTCAATCTCCGATCCTCTTTCTTCTTCTTCGCTGGCGACCATAGCGTCCGTTGATTTTCGCGGAGATCTACCATGTGTTTATGGAGGAACGAATCGACTGCGTCTACGATTTGCGGCGATGGAGTAGGAGGATTGGTTTTGGAAACAATGGCAGATCATCTTCATGGGCGAATCAATCTGCAGCAACAGCAATGATCGGTGGCAGTGAGAGTTATGTTGGGCGGCGACGATATAGTTTTCAGCAGTGGCATTTGTCGTGGCACTCTGTAATTTTTTTGTTGAGAGAGATAGATCGGCGGACGAGGAGTTTTGTGTTGTAGTTTTCGGCGGCTGCATTGGTCCGGCATAAT